CATTCAGTGTTGCATCTTGGTTCCCACGACACAATAGCAAACAATTTGAGAAAGACACCATGAAACCCACTGACAACATAACCAGCATGTATTATTAGCTATTACAATTTAAAAAACAAAGCACTCGAGAGGTATACCACAGAGAAAACGGTACCTACCTTCCTATTCTTTCTCTGACATTTTTGTAAACCTGGGTGAGTTTAGGCTCCAAATACTTCAGTAGTCTGTGCAATAGTTCAGGCACTCTCCACTCTTGCTGGGCAAGGCCACCTTGTAGTACATAAAGTCGACTAAAATTAAAGCATCGTAGTGTTATTTTGGAGGCCCTTTCTGCCTTTACATATTGACAGTATGGACAGACAATGTCTGTATTTCACTTAAAACTTTTTCATTTTCTCACCTAATAAATACTACAATATCCACAATTCAAAATAGCCTGTTTATGAAGATTTTATTTTTCCTTCTGTATTTGCATTTCATCTCCACTACTAGACAACTGAAAGAAATACTGACTTCAGAATACTCACCAAGTAATATTTAAACATCAGAATTCAAGTTTTCTCATTAAGTACTTCTTCTTTTGAATGAAATTATCCATATTTCTATTGTCTAACTTTCTACAGCACCATATGCCCCAACCAAGGCAGTTTTTCCTTAAAATGATTACTCTCTCTTTGTATCTTTTTAACATAAGATGTGATGAAGACACAAAAGTACAAAAGACAATTCCAATAAAAGATCTGACAGCAAAGAATGCTGACTCTAATTTGCGTTTAAATTGCTCAGGTTGCCTACATCTCACTTACTTATCCAACTAATAAATAACTCTTATTAAGTATCACATGTTGTATGGAACCAGATCACAACACCTTCCAGAAGAAAGTAATGACTTCATCTAGACTTTACAAGTATAGACCATTTATAAACACCTCATAGGTTTTTAAAAAAATTTACCATGCATCTACAAAGGATCCTCCTTCACCACTCAATGGTGATTCCAACAGCAGTTCAAAAAGCCAGTGAAGTTTCCGGGGATCTCTGCTTTCCTGTGTTTAAAATATGATGTAACAGTTAACAGGGGACCTACAATTCTATAAATAAATCATATTCAGTTATTTTATTTAATTTTGTTTTTGAGGCTAGGTCTAACTCTTGCCCAGGCTGGAGTGAAGTGGTGTGATTACCTCCCAGGCTTCAAGTAATCCACCCGCCTCGGCCTCTAAAGTAGCTGGGACCACAGGCATGTGCCACTATGCTTCGCAATTTTTTATTTTTTGTAGAGACAGAGTCTCCCTATGTTGCCCAGGCTGGTCTCCAACTCCTGGCCCCAAGCAATCTTCCTGACTCGGCTTCCCAAAGTTCTGCGATTAAAGGTGAGGGCCAGTGCACCCAATCATATTCAATTATTTTAGAAATACTAAAAACATATATAAGTACAGTCACCCCTTGGTATCTGTGGCAGATTGGTTCCAGAACTCCCTTAGGATACCAAAATCCACAGATGCTCAAGTCTCTTATGAAAATGGTGTAGAATTTACATATAACCTACGCACATCCTCCTGTACACTTTACATCTTCTCTAGAGTATTTGTAATACCTAATACAATGTAAATGCTATGTAAATAGTGGTTATACTGTATTGTTTAGGGAATAATGACAAGAAAAAAAAATCTGAACAGGTTCACTATAGACACAACCATCCCCCACCCTTCCAAAATATTCTCCATCTCCTCAGGTTGGCTGAAACGACAGATGTGGAACTTATGGATATGGAGGGCTGACTGTATAGAAGAAGAAAATCAAACTAAAACTGACAGATGACTCAGATTCAAATGTGACAATCATAGTTCAAGTTAACAGTGAGAAAACTGTTGTTAGCTAAATGGATTATCTTAAATCAAAGTACACAAGCTATGGACATATCCGGTATAAAAAATAATACCTTAACTTTGTATTATGTGGCTTTTACTATATGTAAGTGACATTTCCAAATACATGATTGTCACTTAATTTTAAAATGCATTACCACAGCAGAGAAGATAAAATAATCACTTAAGAGTTACCTCTCAAGACTTGTTTGAAAGGCTAAATAGAGCCATCTCCAATTACGTAAGATGACAAAAGTATGAACAAACTTTCAAGATTCAAGAAGTGAGTTACTTCACTTAGAATAATAGTCTCGAATCCCATGGAAATAAAAAACAGAGACAGTATCAAACAGTTTGAATACACGAGTTAGACAAAGAAAGATGTAGGATAACTTACACAAGATGTTGCTATACAAGCTCCCCAGTCATTATAAGTTTCTACGGTAATGTTGGACAGTGCTGTTCTAAGCAGAGGGCACAGAAGCTCCCACAGCTTCTCCACCTACTCAAAACAAAATATATGGGTAAGAGTTGATGACACTCTGAACATTTTTCTCCAAATATCTTTCTTTACCTGAAAATGTACGCACATATAAATACATCATTTAAATTATTTTTGAGACATGGTCTCATGCTATTGCCCAGGCTGGAGTGCAGTGGCACGATCATACCTCGATGCAGCCTTAAGCTTGTGAGCTCAAGTGATCCACTCACTTCAGCCTTCCAAGGAGGGTGGACTATAGGTGTGTGTCACTATGCCCGGCAATTTTTTTTTTTTTACTCTTTGTAAAAACAGGATCTTGCTATGTTGCCCCAGCTGGTCTTGAACTCCTAGCCTCAAGCAATCCTGTCACCCTGACCTCCCAAAGTGCTGGAATTATAGGCATGAGCTAGTATGCCTGGCCCCAATTATTTTTTAGAGCACCCAATTAATCCACAAAAGTACCTCACTACATTGTCATCATACATATCCAGATATAGGTGAAATGTTTCCCAAAAGATATTCAGAAAAGAGTAAATACTTTGTGTGGCTCTTTAAAAAAAATCTCTTGGCCGAGTGCAGTGGGTCACGCCTGTAATCCCAGAACTTTGGGAGGCCAAGGCAGGGGGATCACTTGAGATCAGGAGTTTAAGACCAGCCTGGCCACAGGGCAAAACCACGTCTCCACTAAAAATACAAAAATTAGCTGAGCGTGGTGGCACATGTCTGTAATCCCAACTACTCAGGAGGCTGAGGCAGGAGAATCGCTTGAACCTGGGAGGCAGAGGTTGCAGTGAGCCGGGATCATCCCACCGCACTCCAGCCTAAGCAACAGAGCGAGACTCCATCTCAAAAAACAAAACAAAACAAATCTCTCATATGACTGATAAGTGTTCTCAAATCTCTTGTATAATAATAGTACACTAGGCTGAAACAAAACCTCAATCAAATTTTCCACATTTCTCAAGATCATTTGATTAAATCTTAGAGGCAATGAATGACATTTTAATTTAATTTAGTAATTAGTCTGAGATATAATCTTCAAATTCCAAGTCTTGGATAAACAGTCCTTAAAAACACATACAGTTGTACAGAGACTGCATTTACGCACATATATTTTCTCAAAGGTTAATGAGCATACAAATCACCTTGAGGTCTTAAAATGCAGACTGATTCATCTTAAGTGGGCCTGACATCTTACTTTCCTAAAAAGCTCCCAAGTGCGACCTCTGCTGTAGGTCCATGGACTGTACTTTAGTTAAAAAGGACATACCTTGATTTCATCATTACACACTGTGTGCATGTATCAAAATATCACATGTACCCCATAAACATGAACAGCTACTATTATCAATTTTTTAAGTTCCTAAAAAAAAAAATCTGAAATTTGTTTTAAAAAAAAGAATGAATGAAGGCCAGGCACAGTAGCTCACACCTGTAATCCCAGCACTTTGGGAGGCCAAGGTAGGCAGAGTTCAAGAGCCAGGAGTTCGAGACCACCCTGGCTAATGTGGAGAAACCCCGCCTCTA